CAACCTGGAAGCCCTCCGAATTCCGAGTCAAATCCAAACGTCCACGCTTGAGTCTCAATATTGCAGAGACGTCTAAGAGGACGTACGTCTAAGTCTTCTTAGACGTACGTAATTCTTTCTTATATTTCTGCAGAGATATCTTGTATTCGGACCAGTCACTGGCGTTTCTGTTTAGCTTTGCCTTATTAAAAAGTTTCGTACATTCTTTCACTCATTGACCTAAGCTTCTGTTCCAACAAGGTGGGTAACACTTTCTACTAGGTCGAGTAGAAGAACAGACAGACCTTTATATTAAGTATCAAGCTGAGATCTTGTACCTGCTTGTCCAGCTTATCTGGGAACAAAAAGAGGTGTTTATCAACAGCTCATGTACAGATGAATTGTATTTTGTCCAGATTGTATTCCTGTCATTTCTGAAAGTTTCTAGAATCATGTAGTTTGAAAAAGAATGTTAAGAGGACAGTTTCTGTTTGTTTGATAGGCCTATGAAGACAGTGATATATAGGACTTCCTCCCTATTTTTGGTAATAAAAGTTGGCCTATTGCTATTACATATAAAGAGGTTATTACTGAAAATAAAATCAAAAAGTAACTTACCACGTTCATTTGTATTTAAGTTGCTCCACACTTCATGGTGAGCATTGACGTCGCACCCTAAAACGATTTCCACACCATGTTTTCTATCGCCGTTCGTCAGCTGTTGACCGCATATAATAAATCAAAATTTTTAGTCCTGAACCCGCAAAAGAGATCCCTATACACCCATGGCTCTTACATCAGGAGTATATCGGTTCTGAGAACTGCTTCCCAATTTTTTTGGAAACCCATATGTAATGGCTGAGAAAACGTGGTATATGGCCAAAGTGGCCAAAAATGCTTTGTCAATCACAAAACTAACGTAACTATATTTGCCCTTGGCTTCCTCCAGCTTCATAATCTTCCAAGTTAGCTGATTGTTTCAAAGTCGAGTAAGATCCAGAATCCGGTGAGGATTGGACGGATGGATTGGAGTCGAGGAACGCGTTTTGCTTCTACGCAGGCAATAAGCTTCGGATGGCAGTGATGCCATCCACTATCGCGACAAGTGGGACAATCACCGGGAAAATCCTTTAGGAGATCGACATAGATGCCGAAAAAATTAAGTTCTGCCTTTTTGGCATTTGGTTTAGCAACTGACTCATCTAATGAGCGCTATCTCTTCGCTGCAGGTTCCTGATTGTTTTTCGAGGTAGTGAGGATCTGCTTTGCCCAAGCAATCCTGAACTTCATAGATTAGGATGTAACCGAAATATTACCGTTTCTCTCTGGCAGTGTAGTCGCCACTTGGCATCCTTTATAACTCCTCCTCGACGGAAGCTCTGACCAAACTTGTGGTCCAGAATGCGTGGATACCTTTTTCGGTGTATTGATAGGCACATTTTTATTACCGTTAGAGGACGCGGTGGGTGCCTTATTTGGACACGTGGTGTTCGAAAGTTTTGAACTTTGTATAGCCGAACTCTCCGCTACTTAAGTATTTTGTTAACTGTTTTTCGGTTCATTCGTGATTTAAATCCACATATCGCGAAGAAAATTAAAGTCCATCCAGGCATAGATCTGCTATACCAGGACAAGGCTACATTACAAACGGAGGCAGCCAGTTTTCTGAAGGCCTCCGTTTTAAGACACATTAACGTAGTGCCATTTGTTTCATCGGCACGGGTCGAAAAACTCCGAAGATTACAGGTTTTATGGAGTTTTTCTTTTAAGATCGATGGTGTTCTGTTCTGTCGACGTGATAATCAACATTTTTCATGTTTACTTCGAAAAGAATATGATAAAGTGTAATGCATTATGGTCTTGATATGGAAAAGGCTAGAGGTATTTACGTACTGTCCAAAGAAGAACGCAAGCTCTTTCTGTTGCCATATTAATTTCAAGGTATTTCAATTCCCATCATTGTGTACTACAGCCAAACTTTGAGTGGTGATTGATTCATCAGACAAAACCACATCTGAACGCTCGCTAAATGACATAGTGTATTACAAACTGACAGTTCAAAGCAAACTCTTTTAAATTTTGTTCCGTTTAAGGTGACAGTTTGTTTTCACCACAGATATCCACAAAATGTATTGTCAAGTTTTAATAAATCCTGAAGATCGGCACTACCAGCTTATCATTTGGAGACTCAGTCCGAATGCAACACTTCGATACTATATGTTCAGCACAATTACATATGGGACTCGAGCAGCTTCTTATCTGGCAACAAGATGTCTACAAAATATAGCATTAGAAAACAAGTTGAACTATCCATTTGAAGCTGATATCCTGTATGGCGATATCTATGTTGACGATACCTCAGTGGATCAAACAGTTTAGTCACGGTTATTGAAGCACAAAAACAACTTTTCTACATTTTGAAGAAGCATTATTTTAATCAACGGAATTAGAGTTTAACCCATTCTTTACTTTTGAAAAATATTTCTCAAGGTGATCAAGAGGTAAATCTAGATTTTATTGATGATAATAATCAGTCAATAAAAACAGTGGGATTGTTTTGGTTACCCAAAGCAGATTTATTTGGTATTAAAGTTAAAATGGTTGCTGGGATAATTACGAAGAGAATCGTAAGTTCTGATTTAGCTAGACTGTTCGACCCTACTTGGCGTATTAGCTCCAGTAAAAGTGAATGTGAAGATTTTCATCGAACACTTATGGCAGTTGATAATTGCAGATCTTCATACAACATGGTCAACATTTAGAGAAAACTTACGTATTACGGAAAACCTTCAAGTGTCAAGACATATCTTCAAACGCGAGCTTCCATAATCAACACAGCTACACATTTTTGCTGATGCATTCGAAAAAGCATTTGATGCTGCAGCATATGTGCGAGCTATTTTAAAGGATGGTAGAGTAAGAGTAGCATCGCTCAGAAAACAAACCAAGCAGCGACTAGAGCTAACATATGTGTCGCAGTCCTAGCAGTGGAACTCTCAGCACGAGTCTAAAACGATCTTCAGGAGAAGTACCAGTCAGTATTTTTGTGGACTGATTTAGAAATTGTGTTGTTTTAAATCTGTTCACTGTTCTCATTATTTCAAACATTTGTAGTTAAAAAAGTGTCAAAACTCAATATTCTCTAACAACACATGAAATTCAAGGAGCCACATGCGATATATATAGCTGTTAGAACTCCACTCCATACCCAAAGGTTAATGTGCGTAAAATGTTTGTAAACTTGCTTTGGTCGTTGCAACCGTGCAGCTATAATTAGAAAATGCAACCCAGTGCACACATGAACTGTCAGTTCATGTGTCAGCTGATTGTCATTTGTGCTTGGCTTTTGTTTTTGAGTTCCGGTAGAGGCAAGGCGGTTGTCACGACCAAAAGTAAGTGAAAAAATAATTAATTTTAAGTATTAGAAATTAATAAATTTGTTTTAAGATTTTAAAGCATTACATTAAAGCATCACAATACACACAAATAACTTGTTTTGCTATTAAAAATTGGTCAATAACAAACTTTAAAATTTTTGTGGCAAGCTGTAAAAATCTTGCGGTAATCGAGAAAAGAAAATAGTGTGGCGATTTGCCTGGAAAGAAATCCGAAAAAATCCTTTTAATCGGGAACACATATAAAAGAAAAATATGTCATCCGGCAGCCAGAAGTCGACTGTACAATGTGCCGTGTGCAAAAAGGTGAAGACTGGAAAGATGGTGCAATGCGACGCATGTGACCAATGGAGTCATTTTGCATGCGTGGGCGTGGATGACAGCATTGCAGACCTGCCTTGGAGTTGCGAAAAATGCAACACGGTAATGCAGGTTTCAGAAGCGGTTCCGAATAAGGCACCAAGTGAGGAGGACTTGGTAAGTAAGGGCGGTTCAATCATGTCAAGAAACAGCATGAGAATCGAACTGCAGTACTTAGAAGAGCAAAGAAAAGCCGAAATGAAATATATAGAAAAGAAACGTACAATAATGCTGAAGTATGTAGGCGAGGATGATGTTAAGGGTGAAGGCATGAGTGAGGTAAGGACACATAGGACGCTAGAATGGGTGAAGAAGCAGGTTGGTATGAACAACGATGACAGCAAGCCAAACGAAGGTTGTGGTGTTCAGTTGGGTGGTTCAGCTGATAGGGCGGAAGCCCAAGCAGTATCGAAAGTTATACCGGCGCTGATGATAGAACAAATTAATGCGCGTCATGTCGTTCCACGAGATTTGCCTATATTTACCGGAAAGCCGGAAGAGTGGCCACTTTTCTACAGCAGTTTCAGCAATTCAACACGTTTATGCGGTTTCAGTGAAGACGAGAATCTTTTACGATTGCAACGTGCCCTTAAGGGTAAGGCACTTGAATATGTTAGCAGTAGGCTCATGATACCAGCATTAGTGCCGGAAATAATGTCAACTCTTCAAATGGTATTTGGAAGACCAGAACACATAATCAATAACTTAATTACTAAAATTCGAGCAGTGTACATTAATATAAATAAATTGGACACAATTGTTACGTTCGCCTTAGAGGTAAAAAATTTGATCGCAACTATGGAGGCTTCAGAGTTACATTCACACTTAGTGAACCCGTTGCTTATCCAAGAGCTTGTAGAAAAACTACCACCGCAAATGCGATTGCAGTGGGCTGTTGCATCGCGTAATATCAATGTAACACTTAAAACATTCGGCAACTGGATATATGAACTAGCAGAAGCAGCAAGTAATATATCGCCCGCTTTTAGTGCTGGAGCCAGTGTAGATAATGAAAGGCGCAAAGCGCAACGCATTAATTTTCACGAAGAAGAACCTCAGGGTGCAGTAGGCGATAAGCACAAAATTCTAGCATGCTTTTATTGCAAGGAGGCACATGCGTTAAAAAGGTGTGCAAAGTTTAGAACACTAAAAACAGACGCGAGGTGAAACGTAGTGCGTGAAATGAAACTATGTGGAAGATGTCTACTGCAGCATGATTTTCGAACGTGCAAGAGGACCCGAGAGTGCGGTATACACAATTGCAACATGAAACATCACCCATTGCTACATAAACAAACAAGTTCAACTGCAAGTGGGGCAAATGAAACGTTGGCGGTTCATCATCAACTAACTTCACAAGCGCTGTACAGAATTGTTCCAGTTACAATATATGGAAATGGTGTTACCTGCAACATTTATGCCTTTCTGGATGACGGATCTGGTCCAACGTTAATAGAAAAAGACGTATTAAGACAACTGCGGATTAAAGGTGAAACGAAAGATCTTTGTTTACGATGGACAGATGGTACGGTACGCAAGGAACCTGATTCTGAGCTGGTCAACCTGCAAGTCTCCAAAATACGCGAAGGTAAAAGGTATTCGTTGTGCAATGTGCGTTCAGTAGCTAAGCTGGAGCTACCCGAGCAATCTTTAAATATGACAGAACTTACCGATAAGTATAAACATTTAAAGGGACTACCAGTAGAATCGTATCAAAACGTTAGGCCTCGAATGATAATCGGCCTAAGCAATAAAGAGGTAGCTATGCCAATGAAGTTCAGAGAGGGAGGCAAGAATGAGCCAGCTGCAACGAAAACTCGACTCGGGTGGACCATATATGGAATAATTAAGCACGAACCTAATACTATTAGGGAAACGTTAAATTTACACATCTGTGAATGCGATGATGATCTAAGTTTGCAGCGTTTAGTGAAAGATTTTGTCAGTAATGAAAACGTTATTGAAAGTAAGAAAAAACTAGAAAATATGGAGTTGGAACAACAAAAAAGTATGCAATCAAAAATAAGTCGAAATGGTGAATACTTTGTAGCAAGATTGCTTTGGAAATCAAATAACATTACTATGCCGGATAATTACTTAATGGCGCTGCGTAGACTTCAGTGCTTTGAGCGCAAGCTGCAATCCAATGTAACATTGCAAAGCTGGGTATGTGATCACATCGATGACATGAAGGCGAAAGGTTATATACGCCAGCTGAAACCTAACGAAGCCGAGGGGTATTATCCACGTAAATGGTACTTACCGATGTTTACAGTCAGTAATCCGAATAAACCACAAAAGCAAAGACTAGTGTGGGATGCAGCTGCACAATATGACGGAGTCTCGTTAAACGCGTGTTTGGAGAAAGGTCCAGATCTGCTCACTTCGTTGGTAGATGTTCTTGTTAATTTCAGAATCGGAAAAATTGGTATAAGTGGCGACATTAAAGAGATGTTTCATCGAGTACTCGTGAAAGAAGAAGATCAACATTCACAACGCTTCCTGTGGAGAAATTGTGACGATAGCAGACCACCAGACGTTTATTTGCTACAAGTTATGAGTTTTGGGGCAACATGTTCACCATCGTTGGCACAACTGGTAAAAAATAGTAATGCACGCGAATACGAAACCGAGTTTCCGCGAGCAGTGAAATGTATTTTACAAAGGCATTATGTAGATGACATGCTGGATAGCGTCGACACAGTGGAGGAAGCGATTAATCTAGTCAATGAGGTTAGAAATATTCATAAGAAAGCAAATTTCCATATTCGCAATTGGGTTTCAAATTCTAACGCAGTGCTGAAAGCTATAGGTAACCAAGGCCAGGAATTTCAATTTTGCTCGGCTGGAAGGCGTATAGACCATACATTTGAGGCAGAGAAGGTATTGGGAATCCATTGGCAAACCGACACTGATATGCTCACATTTGATCTGAAGTTTACCAAAGCCACTGAGGATGTTCTAAGTGGATATAGATTACCTACGAAGAGAGAGTTGCTACGATTGATGATGTCAATATTCGACCCTTTAGGGATGCTTACCTTTTACATTATTGACGTAAAAATTTTGTTTCAAAAAGTTTGGCGAAGTGGAGTTAGCTGGGATGACGCTATTCCTAATGAGCTAGTTGATGAGTGGAACAAATGGCTGTCGCTGCTTGGCGGTGTGAAAAATGTGAAGATACCGAGATGTTACTTCGCTACGGTTAATAAGGATGCAGACTCCATTGAATCGCATGTCTTTGTGGACGCAAGTGAGGTTGCATATGCAGCGGTGGTGTACCTAAGAGCGAAGAATCGCAACAACATAGATGTTTCCTTGATATGTTCTAAAGCAAAAGTTGCACCATTACGACCAATATCAATTCCAAGACTGGAACTACTCGCGGCGGAATTGGGAGCACGCTTAGGAAACAACATAAAAAGGGCAATAGACTTGAAAGTGACCAGTATAACGTATTGGAGCGATTCAAAGGCTGTTCTATCGTGGATAAAATCTGACCCACGAGATTACAAACAATTTGTAATGTTCCGTATAGCAGAAATCCAGGAGTTGTCCGAAGCAGAACAATGGCGGTACATTCCTACTAAATTAAATGTTGCGGACTTGGCTACAAAACAAACTAGTAATCCAGACTTTACTTGGAAAAACCCTTGGTATAAGGGACCGAAGTTCCTGTATGAAGCAGAAACTTGTTGGCCAAATAATGTTGGCGTACAGAAATATAACGAAGATTCTGAAATCAGAAAGCAACGATTGTTGGTGGCTCATGTAGCAGAGGAGGAACCTCTCATAGATGTCTACCGATTTTCAAAGTGGGAACGTTTAGTTCGATGCATGGCCTATGTGAAAAGATTTATGTTTTTACTATCAACTAATGAAATGAAAAAGAAGAAATCTGTAAACCAATGCTTGTCAGTTGAGGAACTGAAATGGAGTGAAAATTTCTTGTACCAAACAGCCCAGTTACAGGATTACAAGAAAGAAATGACCGCATTAAGTAGAGACGCTAATATTACTCTTTCTAAAATTAGCCCTTTGCGAAAACTTTCACCATTCATAGATGCACAGAATGTTTTAAGATTAAAAGGTAGATTAGATAAAGCCGTATGCATCGATGATTCAATCAAATTCCCAATTATACTATCAAGGAAAAACTACATAACTAAGTTGATCGTAGACTGGTATCATCGAAAATGGAAACATCTAAATCATGAAACGGTGGTTAACGAAATCTTTCAGAAATACCACATTCCGGGACTGCGTAGACTGTTAAAGCAGGTAAGAAATAATTGTCAACATTGCAAGGTTCGCGATGCGAGTCCAAAGCCGCCGGAGATGAGTGTGTTACCAGAAGCACGACTATCAGCATACTCCCGACCATTCTCAGATGTTGGAATAGATTATTTTGGCCCGTATACTGTAACAGTAGGAAGGCGCTCAGAGAAGCGCTATGGCGTCGTTTTTACATGCCTTACGTGTCGAGCAGTGCATTTGGAGATAGCTTATAGCCTGTCAGCCAGCTCGTGTTGTATAGTGATACGAAATTTCATAGCCCGAAGAGGAGTGCCGAATGTCATCTATAGTGACAATGGAACAAACTTAACAGCAGCTGAAAAGGAGTTACGAGAATCAATAAGAAACGTGGACTTCAATGAATTGCAAGCTGAATTTACAAGTCCGGAAACACAATGGGTTTTTCTTCCACCAGCTGCGCCGCACATGGGTGGAACGTGGGAGCGGATGGTGCGATCCATAAAAACAGTGTGAGGAGCAATAATAAGCCCGCAAGCAAAAATTAATGATGAAAAGATGCATAACCTGTTCTGCGAGGTAGAATCAATCGTAAATAGCAGACCGCTCACTTATTTGTCGATTGAAACAGCAAGCGAAGAAGCGTTAACTCCGAATCATTTCTTGTTGGGGTCATCTTCCGGGAACAAGCCGCCGGGGAAGTTCGATACTAACGACGAGCACGTGAAATCCTCCTGGAGGCATTCGCAATACCTTGCCGATCGGTTCTGGAAAAAATGGATACAAGAGGTGCTTCCAACGATGACAAGACGGACGAAATGGTTTGGTAAGATAAAACCCATCGAAGCAGGTGATGTCGTCATTATTGTTGACCCAAATTCTCCTCGCTACACATGGCCGAAAGGAATTGTAATTAGTGCCATTAAAGCACGGGACGGGCAGACCAGGAGCGCCGTAGTGCAGACTACTCGAGGGCAATATCATAGACCTGCTGCAAAATTAGCCGTATTAGATGTTCGTGGAGCGGCAGTTTAGAGTAAGTCGTATTCTTATTAAAGAGATACTGGGGGGAGAATGTTAGAACTCCACTCCATACCCAAAAGTTAATATGCGTAAAATGTGTAAACTTGCTTTGGTCGTTGCAACCGTGCAGCTATAATTAGAAAATGCAACCCAGTGCACACATGAACTGTCAGTTCATGTGTCAGCTGATTGTCATTTGTGCTGCCTTTTGTTTTTGAGTTCCGGTAGAGGCAAGACGGTTGCTGCGACCAAAAGTAAGTAGAAAAGAATTAATTTTAAGTACTAGAGGTAAATAAATTTATTTTAAGATTTTAAAGCATCAAATAAACGAACGCTTTTAAAATTGGTCAATAACAATAGCACTTAGTGTTAATGAATTGGAACCATTCGTTGATAATGCAAATGTGCTTAGAGTAGAAGGACGCTTGGAAGTCTCATCATTACCATTCGATTCTAAACATCTAATACAGATCCCATACAATGATATAATTATTTTTCATGATGATCCATGAAGAAAATAAGCTCTATGGTCCTAAGGCAATGTTGAGTGTAGTTCGACAACGTTTTTGGACGATTAAGGGTAAATCAACAGTACAAGCGGTGGTTCAGCAATGCATCCGATGCAACAAGACAAGTCCACAACTATGCCAACAAATTATGAGCAATCTATCAGAACCAAGAGTAACTCCAGTAAGACGTTTCATCAATGCTGGAGTAGAGTATTGCGGTTCATATTGGATCTATTACAAGGGGAGAGGCAAAAGATTAACAATGACAAATATTGCTATCTTTTGTTGCTTTGTATCTGAAGGCGACACACCTCGAGTTAGTGGATGATTTGTCAACAAATGCTTTCATTTCATGCATTGAAGAAGCTCTTATATCTTAAGTAGACATCCGGTTGAAAACAGAAAAATACACATTACTGTCATGTTGAAACCTAGATTCCCAGTTTAAACTTTTGGAAACATTGGTTTAATCAATATTTGATGGATCTGCAACAACGTAACAAATGGAAAACACAGTCATATAGTTAGAAGACATGGTTATAATGAAAAAAGACAACGTCCCAGTGATGCAGTGACCCTTGGGACGAATTGTTCACGTGTACAAGGGACAGGCGAACGTATCCGAGTAGGTGACGTTAAAACAACGACGTGTATTTCTAAACGTTCAATTCATCAATTAGCTATACTGCCTGTACAGACGAGCAACCAGCAATGACTGAAACTGATCACAAAATACCTCCTGACAGGTAAATATGGAAGATGAGAGATTAGTATGAAGAGCCCAAGACAAAACGAAAAAAAATCAGTGTATACTGATATTGTCAAGAGCAATAGGGTTTCTAATTGACAGCAATAGATTTGGGTCAAAATTGGGTATTCACTTTGAAAATCTGGGTACAGCTGCTATATCAACTACTGAATGGAATCTATTAGTGCACCCTGATTTTAGTCTTTATTGGACACCATTGTTGTCAACAAATGAAACCAAACGTAAACGGTTGCTCATTTTAAACATATTGAATCCGAACTACGACTGGATGATAAATTTCGTCAAGATCCTCGTTCAAAAAGAGGAGTAGTTGAGTTTGTAGGATATATTGCTCATTACTTGTTTGGAGTATTAGACTTAGAATACTCTAAAGGAATGTCAAATATAATTTTGAATGTGATATAAAATGAAATGTGATTATTGACGTTGTTTAAGAATCAAACATAGGTTGTCGATTCAACAATTAACATAATGAGGAGAGATAAAATCGTATTTTAAGAAGGTTTTGAGCACATTGATAATGAAATAAAGGTACTGATGAATTCGATTAAAGATTCAAGTGGAGAGGTAAATTAGGTACGGCTCAATCAAGTTTTAAATACAGAATCCATTCAACTAACACTGGTAGCACATAATCTACAGAAAGTACAACGTGATATTATAGAAGTTCTAATTGATAGCCATCAGGAAAAAGTGAATTCATTATTCACACCAATATAATTACAAAAGAAACTCAATCAAATCAAACTTCATTTAGAACTACACCCACAAAAAAAATAACATGAAACTAAGTTAAAACGATGTTAAATCAAAGTAAACTTACTTACTTATTTACTTCGTTGACCATTACAGACGTGAGTCGTCCTTGGTCGCGTCGAGTAGCCTCCGCCAGCCAGCCCGATTAGTTGCTTGCTGCCACTACCGTTGGTAGTACCGAGCGCCCCCAAATCGTTGGTCACCTGGTCATTCCACCAAAGATACGGACGTTCTCTACCGCATTTTCCACCTGCAGGTACCGATTCAAATACCTTTCTAGACGGAGCATTTTCTTCCATTCCCACGACATGACCTATCCAGCGAAGCCGCTGAATTTTATGCGCTTAACTTTCTCAATGTCGCGGTATAACTGATCGTTGCTCATTGTTCCATCTAATTCGACACTCTTCGCTAAGGCGTAAGGGACCATAGATCTTCCGAAGAATTTTTCTCTTGAATAGTCCTAACATATTTTCATCACTGTTGGTAATTATCCAAACTTCTGCACCATACAGCAGGACAGGCATGATAAGAGATTTGAAGACCGTGATATTTGTTTGTTGAAAGAGGGTTTTATTTCTCAATTGTTAGTTTTCCTAAGTTGGAAAATGCAGCATTGATGACGCGGGTGTTCAGGCCAATGATATCAATATCATCGTTATACGCAAGCAGCATTACATATTTATAGAATATTGTGCCAGGGTGGTTTAAGTCTGCTGCTCGAATCATTGTTTCCAACATTAGGTTAAAGTAGTAAAACGTAAACAAAAACGATTTAACTTTGAATATTGTTGCATTTACATTGTATATGCTAAAATTAACATTGAGTAGTTAAGTTACATCAAAGTTAACCCAATTACACCTCACCTATAAATTAAACATGTTACGCGCTTAATTTGAGTATGATACGATGAAATATTAATAATAATAAATACTTATTTTGTGGACGGTAAACGATTCTTCTAATTATGCACGGCTTTAATTATTATCAGGTTGTTATCAGGTTGTATCCGAAAGAACAGGAACTTTTAACTCAACAACCTTCGATCTTGAATTAGCTGCTCAATTTTCAAATAAAACAAATTTTGTAGTTTTAAATTTTTTATTTAGTACTTGTACAAATTTTTAATTATATATTCTCAAAAAAAATCTGAATTCCAATAAAACAAATTCTAAGTTCACATTAAAACGAGGGCGGTTTGATAAGTCAGTGCAACAGTGGTGCCGTCAGCTGTAATCTACCAGTGGGGAACTTTCTAATTTTGAACAAGCTACGCCGTTCAGTTAGTGTTTGATAGCCGTTCAAAGCAGAGAAGAAGTGGTTTACAGAGTTCAGTTGTGGTCGTACCAGCACTAGTGACGCCGAACGTTCAGGTCACCCAAAAGAAGTGATCACGCCGGAAATCGTCGATAAAATCTATGAAATGATATTGAATGATCGGTGAATGAAAGTGCGTGAGTTGGCTCATGTTGTTGGTATCTCAACTGAACAGGTACATCATATTTTACACGAATATTTAGACATGAAAAAACTAAAAAATTTATAAAGGATCTATTTCTTTGAAGCATGTAATTGATAATAAATAGTTTTATTACAAATGCCTATTAAAAAAGAATCACTTTAATTTGAATATTGTAAATATTATATATTGTAAGTATCTAGGTATAATTTCATTGTGTATTGTTGGTAATACAAACAGTCAGACGGTTTAGATTTTGATATACTCATCTGTGTGACGGGTATATAGCTAAACACATTAGATACTAAATAGTGATAGCAATATTCTAAATACATTACACCATTTATGTTTTCATTGTCTCTGTATAAATTAAACCTGAACTCTAAAATTCGTCTGTGTAAATAAGTCCATACCTAATATATCACATGTTGAAAACAATATACACTATCAATAGAGAAATTCATGGTAAAGTTATTGTAATAAAAATAAATTGATTTGAGTTGGCAATGATATTGTTTAAAATTTTCTTACAAAACTCAAAACTTGAAGTTTTCATTTTAAATTTTATTTTTGTAGGTGTTGTACCAAATATTGGCTCAGAAAATTTTTTTTATTTCTTAACAAGTGTTTTAAATTGAAAATATAAGGGAAAACAATCAAATTGTTTTTTGTGAACATGCCTTTAGATGGGATAATAATTCGACAAGCCTTGAGGGAAATTGAAAGTCCAGCTACCGCTGAGCAAATTGCTCGCCATTTACAAAAGCGTTTCAGAAGGCCTTACTATGTTCTCTTGCAGGAAGTAACTGAAACTTTATATGGCGGAAAGTTATTCGGATATATTAAATGTACAAATGGATTTTATTATAATATTGAAGATAGCCAAAAATTAATCTTGGAGAAGATAAAAGAGAGAGAAAACGCAGAAAATGAAGGACTAAAGGAAGATCATGAGAAAGACAAAACCAAACAAACACGTAAACGTAAGCGTTCTTCTAG